TAACATTGTGAGCGCAGCAAGTGTAAGGGTAATCGTTGCGGTCAACATCTTCTGTTTTATCTTTGGTATCCTCATGTAACCTTTTGGCGCTACTGTTAGAATGTCTGGACACGGTATCAAGCGCCCCCTTTCGGTCACTCTATTTTAGTGATGCATCATAGGTGTCACAGATCGCGGCAGCAAGACTGGGTCAGGCGGCTAACATCGGGCTGCACCCGATTGTTCTATCCATCGAATAGCAGATACAGCAGACGGACGCTAAATATTCCGACTCGCATGAGTTACTCACGGCGTTGCGGCAATGAGAAATGGTGTATTACGCATCTTGTGATAGAACTCATGCTCTCTGCTTGGAGCTTATGACCTCAGAGTTTTGATGTGATAATAAAGTAATAGGCATCGTGATAGTATGCATGGGAGATCGTGCCAAGATTACGGCGCCATCCTACACCCTAATCTCAAAACATGACACATGCAAACCACATTTCCTTTACTTCAAGACTGAGACAACTACTCGGTATATTAAGAAAACTTTTCGTCTCTGCAGCATATAGACTGACTTCCGTTCTTGTTCCAAAACTCACAGCAATGACTTAACGCATGGCCTCACACTCTACCTGCTATCACTCAGGTGCAATCGTCCCATAACTCCCCATCAGAACTTTCTTTACACTGCAACGGGTATGTACAATCCTGCCAGCAACCACGGAAAGATTGAGGTCGGCCTCGAACTATGCCGTTCTTTCCATACCCCACAATGTCCACGCATCTCTTTCTTTTCGCACCCTTTCTGTTCACGCAACAATAGTGACCATCGTATAGGCAACGATTTGTAACGATAGACAGATATGCCTGGGAGCAGAAATGGCATACCCAGCTCAATGAGTGAGACATAACTGGCATGTCTAGTCGCTCAGATGGTTTCTTAAGTTGGTTGAATCCTCAGACTATGGAATGGTTACTACTGTGATTGAGAACGCCCCGAGGTAGGCCATCAGACGTCGTCGTCATGACCCCATCTGATGCTATGTACGCTAACGATGACAGATGGAGAGCTTTGTGGAACAGGGTGAACTGTGGAATACAGCAGAAACACTGACGCTGCAATGGGTAAGTCATTGAAGGACTTGTATTGATTTGTGAGTAATTACATTTTGGCCAATACGATGACCTAACCCCTTTGCGTCACCCCAGTGTCAGAAGATGTCTGCTACGAGTCCACAACTAATCAAGCCGTGAAGAAGCTTGGAAAAAAGACCCCCGAAAATTTTTGCTTTAAGCGGAACCCCCTAGCGTAAGCACGGATTTGTGACATTCACTCGTATTTACATACCGCTAGTTTGTTACTGTAACAACAACCAAACCAAACAGACGACCCAAAGATCGTCGATAGGATGAATAGAATTCCATCAAATAGCGGAAAGCCAGCCAGAGTTATGTCATGAGCCTTGCAAGAAGTCGGAGGGTCAAGTCAACTGATATGCTACTGATTGATGCGGATGCAGGGCTAAACAGAAAAAAAAAGACATAGAACTCGAACGTTATCGCATGGCCACGACTATAACCTTACCACCACCGCAGGTATTTGGAGCAGTAAGAATCTGGATACCTCTCATTTCAAAGACGACATGCCCTCGTCTTGCGTCAAGCATCTTGTGTTGATTTACGCAACAGACTCCCTGGAGGACCGTTATGATATCGTTCGTGGTAATGCCAGCATAGCCCTTGTCCGGCATCGCAAGAACAGCACAGTCGCGGTGTCGCGCTCGACTCGACTAGGCAATTTGGATCTCGTCCACCACATTTCCCATCCTAACATTGCCACAATCCATGCCATATTTCTGAACGAGAAGAAGAGTTACGTCATTTACGAACATCTCGAAGTAGACTTAGCGAGCCTTTTCTTAACGACAGAAGTGGAACTAGCATCCGCCTTATCCCAGGTAAGCTAGCGTAGACAGAGACATCGTGAAGCGATGCTGAGTATGAAGCAGCTGCTCGATGGTATTCAGCATCTGCTCGCCAACGGCGTCCCGTTCTCTGCAGACAGCGTGCAAGTCTCCCTGTCCGGAATCGTGAAGATAGGTACAGTCTGTCGTTTCCCGACATCAGTAGCATTCATTGCGCTTACAATGAGCAGTGTTGAACATCGGCTTTCGACCTTGTGATAATTTGGTGGTGGATCAGCACTATTGGGCCACTGTCTGTACCGATAACGTAAATCCGGAAAGGCGGCCTCTCATGAGCTACCGTGAGTTAGAGTTCTTTTCGATGCTTAAACGCGGAACACTACCGAATCGATATGTAAGTCGACGAAGGCAAACCAGCTGTAGCATTTTGAGAGACTGATGGAACCTGTAGCACCGCTTTTTGCATCAATCGCAGGGGCCCCGAGGCTTGATAGCTTTGGTGGGCCAAGCATTGCAAGTAAAACAAGCCGCGGTACTTGCGCCCAAACCACGTAACAGTGTGCCTGACAGTCTACATCAAAGACTCTCAATCGGAAACGCTGGTCTTTAGTCATGATCCTCTTCAAAATCGCATACAGGAACCTTGCTCGCTGATGTTCACATGATTCCCACGCTTCCCTGACTCGCAAACGAGCCCGTGGCTGGGCTAGGAGAAGACGGTATTTGTATTAGTGAGAGAGTCGCTAAGTCGGAACACCCCCCCATTCGGCCACCCCATCAAAAGTAGGTCCAGGAACATCGCCACCAACTACAGTCAATTAATTAACCACCTTCTACTGCCACTACAATACAGTCACTGCCCTCACTAGGTAATTCGACCTCTGCGATTCGACTGGGACTAATTAGACGCTCGCCAGCGTCTTCCTGAGCCCTCTTTATGTCCCTGATGTTGGCGAACTTGGTGTTTGGGTCTGTTTGAACACTCTTCTTTTTCCTGGGAGCCATGCGCTTAACTCTGGCTTCCAGAACTCGAACTTGCTGTTGAGATGAGGCCAATAGGAAGGACTTCTCGCTGAAGGCTTTTTTAACCTTGCGGAAAAGCAGACGTTGAGTGTTGTGGTCAGGACTGAGCTCTGTGAATAGCTTCAGCTGCCCACAGAGATCGCTGGCTTTCCTAGGAGTTGACCAGTCAACAGCAGACGCTGCAGAGGTCCAGTCAACGACTTTGGCAGTATTGGCAGTTGTCTGCCCAGCATCGGTGGTGTCGTTTAATGGTGTAGCTGGGCCAGACGATACCATGGGATTACTAAGAGGTATGGCCATGTTGGGTGGCCATAGGCCAGTTGCTCTCCAACCACTTCGTATATTATCCCTCGTCAAACCAAGCAAACGAGCTATAGTATAACAGGCCAAGAAGTACCGCTTTCCAACGATAGTAGAATTGTCTACTATATCCTCCTTGCTGAGCTCCTTTCTGTAGTTGGTTTTGATAGGACCAAAGACAGCCATATCCAATGGCTGGAGGACATGGGAGGTGTGTGGTGGCAAGAATAATAAGTGGACGTTGTTAATATAGCACTCCCACATGAATTCTGTCGTCGTATGACTCCCATGACCATCCAGAATCAACAGTCGAGGCTCCAGCTGTGGGTTGGGTCCCCTGGTCAGGGGGGGCTCAGTCTGTGGCAAGAAGACCACCCTTAACCATGTGAGGGCAGTCTGGTCTGTAGTCCACCCATTAT